GGGTAGACTGGATTGAAAGCTATAGTCCTGGGAGTTTAATCACCTATAGTTATGTTTAAAAGTGGCCAGTCTTTGTCATCAAGGTACCAGAAAGAATCTGGGAAGAAGCAAAGCTGCCAGGCTGGCGAAGTGCTCTCTCCAACCCTCAACAGGAAACACCTCTGTCAGCACTTTCGACCTGAGCACTGGAAGAAATAGGAAGGGCTGGAGCAGAAGTTCTCAAAGTTTGGGTCCACAGACCTCTGGGGATCTCTGAGCCCCTTCCAAGTGGTCTAAGTTACTGGCTTTTTTCACTGTATTGACACGTGCATGGAGAGTACAATGTAATGGAAGACAAAGCTATTGCCATATTAGCTCCAGTTAAGGCAGTGACACCAGACTATACTAATAGTCAAGGTAACTCTTCACTACCACATACTCTTAGGACAAAAATAAAAAAAAAAAAAAAAAAAGCCAATTTCAATTAAGAATGTCTTTGATGAAACAGTACAAAATATTAATTTTATTGATTTTCATATCTGAGTACACATTTTTAGTATTCTATGTAATGGAATGGGCAATACCCATAAGGCACTTCTGCTCCATACTGAGGTATGATTATTGACTCAAGGAATATCACATATGATTGCTTCCACCGCAAGCTGAAAAGCCACATTTTTTAAATGAAGAGATGACAAACTATTCAGACTTGAGTATTTACCACATATTTTACCAAAAATTTACCACTTATAAAATATAATTTTTAAATTTATAAATAAAATTAGCTTATCACTTCAAAGATAACCAACAGTATTTGTTGCCCATGGAAGAATTTGAGCTTTATAGCAAATCTCAAAATTTAAGAAAATCTGTATCTGCCTCTGTGAGATTGAAGCTTCAAGATACTTAAAGATTTTATGTAAGATTAATGATCTGATGATACTTTTTGACATGAATTTATTATTTTATAATAAAATTGGAAAGACCTATATAGCTCAGTGAAACAATATTTTCCAAATGCATGATGTAAGAAAATTATAAATTGGCCAAGATCCATTCGAAACCTAAGGGAAACCAACAGACAATGTGGAGGAGAACAAAAATGTATCGATATGGTTTCAGATTCCACGATGAAACTGACTTTTCAGGCACTCCCACTTGTGGAGTCTTTGGTCTGATATCAAAGAAAAACATCCACAATTATCTGAAAAGATTATCCAAATATCCATGCCTTTCCAACTACATATTTATTCGAGGCTGGATTTTTCTTCATGTATTTTAATGAAAACAACACATTGCAACAGACTGGATGCAGAAATAGATAGGAGAATCTAGCAATCTTCTATTAACCCAGAAATTAAAGAGAATTTTTTTAATGTAAAACAGCAACAGTCTTCTCATGATTCTTTGCTATGAAAAGTAGTTATTTTCATTCAAATGTTACTTATATTATAGGTTTATAATTTTTATCTTTAAATGATTTAAATCTTTAAAATTTCTCGTGTGAATTCTAAAATGGCAAATATGCAAGTATAATAAATACACTTCACATAAATCAAAGCTTTGTGGACTCCTCAATAAGTTTTTTTAAAAAGTATAAAGGTGTCCTATGACCAAAAGAAATTTGAGAACCACTTATTTAAATTTAATACAATTATACCTTAATAAAGTTTATTTAAGAAAAACTAACATAATTTAAAATTACATTAAACATAGGCTAAATGTAATGTAAACAGAGGTTGCTGATCTGAAATTAAAAAAAAAAAAAATTATATGGGGCACCTGGGAGGCTCAGTAGGTTAGGTGGCCAACTCTCCATTTTGGCTCAGGTCATAATCTCAGGGTCCTGGGATCAAGCCCCAAGTTGAGCTCCATGCTTAGTGGGGAGACTACTTCAGCATCCTCTCTCTCCCTCTGCTCTTTCCCACCGCTTGCTTGCTTGCTCTCTAAAATAAATAAATAGGGGCACCTGGGTGGCTCAGTTAAGAGTCTACTTTCGACTCAGCTCAGGTCATGA